ACAGGGAGACAGCTCTGGGGGTGAGGGTGCATGGAGGGATGGACACAGGGAAGAAGTGACTGTCAGGAGGAAGTGGGAGGTGAGCTGTTGCATTGTGGTAAGTTGTAGTCAATGTCATGAGACAAAGTGTATGTGAACTGCTGTGTGGAAAGTGAATTTGCTCTGTAAACTTTCACCCAAATCACAATTAAAAAAAAAAAAGAAATCAAACAACAATCTGCTACAAAAGATCTCTTTAAAGTTCAAAAGGAAAGCTGTCACTTTGAAGACTGAGGTGTGCCAGACCCAAGCTATGGTATTTTCAAATGCCTCACATGCATGCGAAAGCTGGATAATAAGTAAGAAAGACCAAAGAAAAATGGATGCCTTTGAATTATGGTGTTGGCAAAGAATATTAAATACACCACAGACTGTCAGAAGAATGAACACATCTGTCCTGGAAGAAGTACAGCTGCACACTTTGGCACTTTGTTTCACACACTTTGGACATGTTATCAGGAGGGACTAACCCCTGGAGGACATCATGCTTGGTAAAGAAGAGCCACAAAGACCCTCAAAGAGATGGATTGACACAGCGGCTGCAATAATGGGCTCAAACATAGCAACACTTTTTAACACTTTAAAAAGAAAGTCCTTTAAAGGTTTCAAAATAGGATCTGGAATTGTTAAACAAAAGGCTCATTAAAATAATAATTACTGTATAAAACCAAACCCACTGCCATCAAGTTGACCCTGACTCTTGGTGACTCAATAGGCAGAGCAGAACTGCCCTATAGTGTTTCCAAGGCTGTAAATCTTTATAGAAACAGAGCGCCTCATCTTTCTCCCGTGGAGCAGCTGGTGGGTTTGAACGAACAACCTTCTGGTCATCAGTCCAATACTATAGAGAGTCTCTATTTGTTCCAGGCTTAATGCAGAGAACTTTAAGCTATTCTCTACTTTAAATTTCACAAAAATCCTATGGATAATATTACTAACACATTTTGCAGTGTTACTGCAAAGTAGATCACCAAGCGGGTGATCTACTTCCGTAGTGATTTCACAAAAACCCTATGGATACTATTAACACATTTTGCAGAAACAAATTAATACTACCAACCCATATATATAGGAGCTCTGGTAGCAGTCAAGTGTCTAAGGCATTTGACTGCTAACTAGAAGGGTGGAGGTTCAAACCCACCAGCCACTCCTCAGAAGGAAGGTTGGGCCTCGAAAACCCAAGGAGGGGTCACTATAAGTCGGGTATGACTCGACCACACATAACAACGCCACCACCAACAACCCATATAAGACTTCTGGTGATGCAGTGGCTAAGTCATTTGGCACTGCTAACCAAAAAGGAGCACTGGTAAGTGTAGTGCCAAAAGCACTGACTGCCAGCCAGAAGGCTGGTGGTTCAAACCCATCAGCCACTCCTAGGAAGGAAGGTTGGGCAATCTACTTCTGTAGTGATACCACTTTGGAAAACCAAGGAGGGGTCACTTTGAGTCAGGTCCAACTCGAGGGCACATAATAACAACCACCACCACCACCAGGTCGGTGGTGGTTCAAGCCCACCAGCTGCTCCGTGGTAGAAAGATGAGGCAGTCTGCTTCTGTGAAGATCTACAGCTTTGGAAACCCTATGGGGCAGTTCTATTGTCCTATAGGGTAGCTATGAGTCGGAATCCATTTGACGGCAGTGGGTTGGTTTATTATTTGGTTTACAGACCAATTGCCATGGAGTCGATTCCAAGTCATGATGACCCTTTAGGAGAGAGTAGAACTGTCCCGTAGGGTTGTGGGACTGTTATCTATACAGAAGCAGTGCCACATCTTTTCTTGGGAGCAGCTGGTGGGTTTGCACCGGGGAGCGCTTTAGCCACTGTGCCACCAGGGCTCAGGAACAAGTTTAGGAATGTTAAAGAAAACTTGTCTAAGCCATTACAGATCTGGGGGTGGGGGTAGTGGAGTGGAGTTTTGAATTCAAATCCGTTGCTTCAGAACTCATGCACAACTAGATTCTGCTGTCTTCCAAATCAGAAAACTGCTAAAAAGCTTTCTGCTTCTAGTTATTTTCAGTAATCTTGGGAGTCCAATCTGAGGTCACTCTATCCAGTTACACTTCCCATAGTCTTGCTACTTGTTTAAAGTGTGTGAAATATTAGCATGTATTCAAAAACATTTGCTGTTATGTTCCACGAAGTGCTGTGTTGTTGTTGTTATGTGCCGTCCAGTCGGACCCGACTCATAGCGACCCCTCCCTTGGGTTTCCGAGGCAGCATCACTACGGAATTAGGTTGCCCCATCTTCCTTCCGAGGAGTGGCTGGTGGGTTTGAACCGCCAGCCCTCTGTTTAGCAGTCAAGTGCCTTAGGCACTATGCTACCAGAGCTCCTACGAAGTGTTGTAGGCATTGCGTATTCAGGGAAGGAAACACATCACTGCTCTCATGGCTTTGCATTTAACAATCAATTTGAAGAGTGCATTTGTAAAACGGGGAGAATGGTATCTACCCATACGAATCCAATGTAATTCTACATATGAAGTGCTCAGACAGTGCCTAATACCTGGGAAGTACTCAAAAAACGTTGGATAATACTATGTATTCGGATCTAAGGTAGCCATTAGGGATATAAATACCACTGGAGTTGTTCTTAATCAATTTAGAGGGGGAGACAGGCACCAAAAGTAAAATGTCAAGTGCTGGGAGAGGGTCAGGCAGTGAGAGAAAGGGTTCAGAGAGGTAGTGTGCACTGGGACATCAGGAAATCAAAGCGTTCTCCACGTGGTGCAGTAGTTACTATAGCTAGTGCAAAGGACTGAACGTAACAGACGTGATACTCCAAGTAGCAAGGGTAAGGGGAGCTGGAGAAGGAAACGAAAGATCAATCTAGAAAAGCAGACTGAGGGCTCCAGTGGGAGCAGATTCTGAAAGTTCTTGTATCACATACCTACAACACATCATCATCTTTTGTGATCTAAGAATTTATGAAAGTGTAAAAGAACCAATAGTCTTTTTAAGAATCAATGACATACCCAAAGTAAGCGACTATAATCAGGGGAAAATCTGGAGGAAAGACTGGGAAAGCAGCACAGCTTTCTAGGCCACAGCGCACACATCTCACTCAGCCGAGAACATACACAAAATGGAGGACGGGGCAAAGAAAAGACTCCGCATAAAAACGCAAGGGTGGAACCCCACGTAAGTGAGGAAGTCATGCTAAACTCAGGCCCTTCCTCACTATTGGCTCGACTTTAATCGTTTTTCCTTTTCCATTGGCTACAGGCGCCATATCTGGATCTAAACATCCAATCGGCTGGCGCCATGGGAAAACTCACCTTCCTCCTATGGCAGAAGGAGTCAGAAGAACGTAAAGGGCCTAAGGCGCTTGCGCGGGCGCGCGCTCCGCGGGTTAAAAGCTGATCCTTGCGAGAGGCGGTGTTGCGGTACATGAATATTAATTACGCATTGCAACGCCGAGCGCCCGCCCCCGTCGGCTGCCAGACGCTGGCGGCTCGCGCTAGAGCTCGCGATGGGGAAGAAGTCCCGGGCGGTACCCGGCCGCAGGCCCATTCTGCAGCTCTCACCACCTGGTCCCCGAAGCAGCACGCCCGGACGGGACCCGGAACCAGAGCCCGACACCGAGCCGGACTCGACGGCGGCGGCCCCGAGTCAGCCAGCTCCGGCGGCAGTGGCGCCGGCAACGACGACTGCGGCGACGGCTCCCGCGGCGACGGCTACCCCAGCGTCGGACGACTCGCCTTCAGAAGGTAAGCGTCCGCGCGGGGCCCCGGCTGGGAGTCGGGCCGTCCGAAACTCGAGCCCGAGGCCTAAGGGGTAGGCCTCACGAGGATCTTGGGAGGAAAAGAAGCTTGGGCGACGGGGCCGGCATCCATGCCTGCGTGGGCCTGCAGGGAGGGCGACGATGGGCACCGAGACGGCGGAAGTGGTCGGCCGCTGTGCAGGCTCGGCCCGACACCTAGCGCCATCTCTGGTGCAAGGGTTACCCGGGAACGTTTGAATCCGACGCTTGCCCGGGCGCCACAAGTTTCCTAATCATCTAGTGTTGGTTTGGGATAACTTAGGGTAGGTGAGTCTAAGTTTCCGTGGCCGAGGCGGTCTTTTCAACGCGTCATCTGTTCTTCTCTCCGTTTTTGTTGAAACCGAAGGACTGTTTAGAAATGAGCAAATCCTGCTTGTTAGCACCGCCCAAGCAAAACTGCCCCAGAATTGTCAAACATGGCACATATTGCTGAAGAAGTAGAACTTGTGGCTTCCTGTGTACTTGAGTGGCTCGCTTTGGACTTGGAAGTGCATTAAGGGTGACCGGACAACACTACCACGGGGGCTGTACGCGGAACAAGCCGCCATAAAGTATACGTGGACTATTTTTGAGGAGATAAATGCTGTGGCAGTATTTGTTATAAAGGCACTGCGGTAGCTTGGAGAAGAGATACAGTGTTTGTGAGTTTGGTTTTTAGTTTTTTTCCCCTCCCTCAATTTTTGGAAGCTCTGGGGGCGTAGTGCCTAAGGCACTTGACTGCTGACCAGAAGGCTGGCGGTTCAAACCCACCAGCCACTCCTCGGAAGGAAAGATGAGGCAGTCTACTTCCGTTGTGATACTGCCTCGGAAACCCAAGGAGGGGCCTCTATGGATCGAAATCCACTCGACGGCAGTGAGTTTGGTTTTTTGGTTTGGTCCTCCGTTTTTAAGTATTTCAGTAGTAAAAGCCTAGTAACAGATACACAACACCTCCACCCCACAAAATAAAACACGCTAGTGTATTGGCCATGTTGGCCTCTTTTCTTTTTTTTTTTAATTTAACAAATGAAAGTGTCGGCAGACCCTCTGCTCCCCAAATTCCATATTTTTCCCTTCTTCCCTTTCTGTCACGAAATCCCAGAGTTGGTGAGAATACTCTTGTTTTGTATATTTTTATGTTTCCACAATGTGAACTGTTTGGTTTGTTTGTTTTTAGATAAATAGTATTAAATTGAACATTTTTTGTAATA